GGATGGGAGCGTCGGCTTCGCATCTGCGTACCCCCTTCAAATAACCTTGATCCGCCCCTGCTTGGATATAATTGATCTGGGCAAGCATCGATAGTGGTAGTGATTCAACAATTTTATTCGGTATCAAATACAGGCTTGCGAGGGAAACATTGAGAAGATACCAATCCGCATTATTACTCAAAATTGTAGGTAGATAGACAAATATATTTATCTATTACCATTATAAACAAAAAAGATAAATATATATAAATTTCTGGCAAATCAGAAGGAAAGTACATATATGGATTTAACCGAAAATTCTGTTATGCGGCCTTGTAGCACGATACTGCTCCTTGACATAATCCTGTTTTGTAATAGTCCACATATTACTAACCATAATGGCCATGCAGGCCGTCAGGTATCCGCTCCCCATGCCGACATCAAGGCAGCGAGCACCCTCCTGGAGACGATCCACCATCAGCTCTAGAGTGGCACCGTGCTGGAATATTAATTTAGTTTCTGTTGTCTCGTTCCCATTGGAAACATTATAAAAACTGACACTAAATCAAGTTTGGGAGAGCTATAATATTTTATTTCCATTTCGGAAAACTTAAGATGTAAAAAATTGTATTTTTATGAAAAACCACTAATGCGTTATAAATGACATTTTCAGTGATATGCCTCATTCTCGCATTGTTTAGTTAGATTAGTCCAATATATGGCGAAATATCATTTGGCTTAAAGCCATGTAGATCTATGCTAATAAAAATCCAATGTACTAGTATACACTGTAAAAATAGTGCTTAGCATTTAAATACATACAACATACGTTAAGCACCTATACACATTTAGAAATATGTGTAAAAGCTAAGCACGTATAGCTTTTCAAGCGTTTCACAGAAGAAAATGCTACACACGTTGGCAGTGTTACACGTTTAGCTATGTGCTTAGCTTCACCGGTATATGGATCTATAATAAGTCTATCACAAGCTAAGCACATTGGCTAAGCACTTCCCCTGCTAAGCGCGTGAGGCTGCTAAACATATGGAGCTGCTATAGGTGTGGAATTCCTAAACGCGTGGAGCTGCTGAACAATACCCTCTATCAAGGCCGCAGTTCTTGGGGACATTTTTTGCTGAGGCGACATCAGACCAAATTGACTATCTATTTATCTAGAGACATATCCGTGAAAAATCAATCTGTCGCCCTGGTAGAGGGTAGCTGAACAACAAGTTTAGCTTTTCAAGCTTCTTTCAGAAGAAATAAAAATGTTTAACATTCTTAGAAGTGTCGCACTTTTAGCTATGTGATTAGTTTCACCGGTCCCATAAGTTTATTACAAGGCTCAACAATTTGGCTTAACACTTCACCTTGTAAACCTGTGTAGCTGTGGAAGGCGTGGAGCAGTCTGCTCGAACGCTTGGTGTCCTTCCTTGCAGTACGAGTGCTTATTTAAAATACGCCTATTAAAGATGCATACAAAGTCAATTTTTGCTCAAAAACCAACCAAATACCAGCATATAGTTTCAAAAAGTATAATTAAGGAAATTGCCAGAAGGCATTGATTAATATTACCCGAAAAATAATATTTGAATGGATTTTTCTGTTAGCTTACTATCCTGTATATACATGGGGCAGAAAAGTAGGTCACATAAGTGGGTTAAATTTCTGACCAAAAATTAAAAGAGCAATCTAAAGCTCTTTTATGGCTGATCGAGTGATTTATTCAGTTTGTCCCTTGGCATGTCGACTTTATTTGAGTCGTATAAGAATCTAGTAGAGGTGGTTTATATGTGTTACTGGCAACCCACGCTCCACCGATGCTCGATTCATATGTACCTTTAAGTAATAATCCAAATAACAAATAACGTTTTCACGACGTTATCAGATGGTTACATGCTGGTAATGGTATAGAAGAACATTATGGTAACGTTATGGGTGTTTTAACTCCATGCAAAATGATGTACAGTAACGTTATAATTTGTAAAAAGATTCGAAGACCGTTTCTACAAAATTTTATGATACATGTAACATCATTTTGTGGAGTTTTATCAGCGTGTTTATAACATTCTGGAAAAACATTATATAATGTTTTGAAAACATTTTTTATATAAATAACCAAAACACGTCTTATGCTGTTTGAACTACAGTTAGTGGTTATTTCCAAAATTGGCTTGGGGTTAGTCGGCGACTAGAGCGGTGCAAATATTCGGACTATCGGTACCGAAATAACCAGCATGTGATGAAAGCTTAAATAAAGTATTATAATGAATACCCCACCATCATCCTGATGTTCTATTGTTCATTACTTCCGGCAAAAAATAATAGATATCACTACCGTAACGCATTTTATCAAAATATGGAGAAAGGTGTTTTAAAGTAAAAATGATAGTTGTTTCGTTCCTTTAGTGAACTAGTGAATTTTCCTAACCTGTTTTTCAGCAATACATTCCAATAAACTACCTCGCAAGGTCAGATAACACAAGGATGAATAAGTACAGCTGTAAAGATGATAGTGGAAAGTCAACGATGTTGACAGTTCACGGTACCCTGTTATAGAAAGAGATAACTATAGCAGTTAAAGGTGACCGTGAGTTCGTCTGTGTGTGTGTGTGTGTGTGTGTGCGCGTGCTCGCGCGTGTGTGCGACTAAAACCCTTAGCACCTAAAAGTTAAACAAATACACCCTACATTTATAAGCCGTCAAACGCGTCATACTGCTAAACACAAGCGTGTAGCATGTTAAGAAGCTAAACATGTTAGGAGCTAAACGCGTGGAAAAAGTGCGACAAAACAGGCGCTTAGAAATCTGTTTAGGAGCTAAACACTGATTTTACAGTGTAATCTTTGCAAACAAAGATACCAAAACATATCATTTTAAAGTTTTTAGCTTAAGCAGCACAGGGAACTTAAAATGGCTGAAAATAATAACATAATTGTCTGCATGTAGATGAAAATAAATTAAATAGTAATTGGTTTAACATAACTCACAGAATGAAAGACGCCTGCATGTTAGCTAAATCCGAAAGAATGCTCCATTCCACAAGTGACGGTATGTGATATAACTTATAGCAAAGCAAGCATAATTTAAACCAAATTATTGTAAAGACGATTACTTACCATGTGAGGTGCGCTGATAGTGGCCCCATGGCCCACTTGCTGTGGTTTGTCTAGATATGGATTGTTAGGACTAAAATGTCCACGTACAACTGATGCCATGGCTGATGCAACACGTGGTGTTTTTACTGTGCCTTTAACTGTAAAAGAATATGAGCTTCAGGTGAGTATACTCAGTGAATATACTAGTGAATGCCAACTATTCCGTTGTGTTATAAACATGATAATTGTGCGTCTTTTGGTTGTTCAGTGTTGACAACATTTGCAAAGCGGAAATGCTACTGGAAGTGTATTAGTAAAGTGTATAGTGTACCGTAGGTACTGGTAATAAAGTTAATCAGAAGCGCGTGACATATTAGAAAAATTTTAATTGGAGGGTAGGCCTACACTCTACCAGCGTCGTAGATAAATAATGTGCACTTTTGTGTCATCAATTAGCCAGAGACTTATCTAGTGAAAAACCTTTACGGTTTTTCGGACCAATGAACCTTCGGACTATCGCGACGCCCCCATATAGATGGGGACGCATGTAATGTGACAAGAGTAAGCGTACACCTACTAAAATTATAGCTTATCATCATCATCGCCATGCATTAAGTAAAATAGTGTGTTGGCCTACGTATAGGTATACTATTACCTGCAGGACTTAAAATGTTTGACATAAGATCCACCTTGTGCGTACATATATATATTATAGAACAGGCAATATGTTTGATGTGCACAGCGCATCATGGCGACCCTCGGGATCACATGCGTTGAGCTTACCTTCGAGAGAACCCACCAAAAATCTGTTCTTCCGTTTATCTTCATCAGAGGCTACAATGAAAAACGAATAAATAAATGATTAAAGAGGTACAGGCTTTTAATAAGCGGTAAAATGAAATTGTTAATTTGCTTTTTTATTTTTCTTTTGCAGCACCGGACTCTTTTCGAAAAAAAAAAAGTACAATGAGCTTGGCGTTATTCTGTTTTTTTTCTCTATAAATAAAGGTAGGGGAAATAATAGTGATATAAATACTTAAAATTTTTGAAGTCATGTTCTGTTAAATATAATATCGTTGACATAGATAGACATATTTATTTCCATAATATGAAAAATATTAACAGATGTTTGTTATTTAGGTTAGATCAATATATGTATGTATATATATTCCTATTTTGCCCGAATCGACCCTGTTTTACGAATACTGCATCTAGACATAACTACAATTTTTTTGTCATGAACTTACCTTCCGTATTTGTTAAGTCAATCAAGGAAGCAGGTGCTGAGGAATCAGGTGGTTGGTCCGTTTCTAGTTCTTCCTCTGTTAGTAACCTGCCAAAGCCTTCAATTATCCTATTCCTATCGGCACCGGCTTTCGCACCTGCTTTGAAGACCAGCTTTTGTAAATTTGGCAGGCCATCTACTTTGACGTCTCGAAGGTGGATAAGACGTTCCTGACACTGAGTCTTCATGCTGGAAATTTCTGCTGGGTTTCCATACTTGACCAAATTCACTGCGTATTTGGTAGTGCTTTCCATGGCTGCCAGAGTGAGTTGGAGACCCTCTTTGTATGCCTGTAGCTGCTTTCGATTTTGGGCTTTACCGTTTTCTACCTTGTCCAACAATTGCTTCTCTAGGGAGTTGATGATAGCGTGTAGCATTGCAGACTGATCTTTGATTTCAGATGAAACTTTGTCGGAGTAATCATCGGCGCTTTCCTGCAGTTGGTCCACATTTTGCAGTGTTCGTTGAACTGAATCCATTTTCGTACTGACGCCAGGAATCAGCCCTTCGATTTCTGCTTTAAACTCTGTGACAAGATCTTCAAGTTGGCCACATTCGTGGTTTATATGATCGAGCAGACGGCAGTTCACGCAGATTGCCTTATCACAGGACTTGCAGAAGAATTTGACCTGTTCTTTTGGATGAGCTGCACACAAAACACGACAGTGGGAACGAACGGTATTTTGCCCTTTCTCGCTCTTCAAGTCATCCATTGTGACAATCCCATGCTCTTTCGTTGCTTTGGAACGCTGGTGTACCCTTGCACAGCGTTCACAAATAAATTCTTCACAATCAAGGCATTTTGCATAGGCCGGTACTTCTGTGCCATCTTCCAAACAGTACTCACAGACAGTCGCCTTTTGTGAAAAACTTTTCTGTTCCTTTAGCAGACTACCTAGGCCGAGAAGGAGAAAATTAGTCTTCAGCCCTTCTAGGCCAGAGCTAGGGATGGTGGTTTCCGTGCGACACAAAGGGCACTGAAGGATGCCTGTAGATGCCCCTCGTGCTCGTGGTGTCTTCTTTGCCGTGTTCTGCAAACACTCTAGGCAGAAAGAGTGAAGACACGACAGTGATTTCGGATCACTAAAGATTTCTAAGCATATTGTGCATGTTAAAAAGTCGTCAGTGATAGTCTTTGACAGTACACCGGCCATTTTGTTCGAACTTTCGCTTTGTAGCGTAGCTTCCTGTCTGTGAAGGCTGCACGTGACTGTTTACATTAGGTCACATAAGATAGGATACGCTGTTGTGGTGAATCGAAGCATTGGCCTATTTACTAGCAGATAGTTCTGTCAGTTTTATGTTATCCCCTGTTTATAATGGCGTGTCTGTAAACATTCCCTATTAACAGGCGTATTATGTTCACCTGTTTCAATGGTATTTATTTATTTATTGCTCTGTCCCCAACATCGATTTTTTTTAGCAAAAGGCCCTTGTATAACTGATTTAGTGCCATTGTTTACGGCGCCTCTTCCCTTGGCCTGCTCTAGCAATACCCTGAAATGTGTAGGTTCCTCAGTAGCAGGAAAGTTTTTCTGCACATTAGAAAACTTCCATCAAATCCGCACCCACCCTCCCACTTTTTGCATCTCCTTTAATTCGTTACTAGTATATCATGGAATATGCTTCACCTACGTTGCAAGATATTGTGTGCGTTATTCTGTTAAAACTAACGTTATTAATAAACATATAAAGAGCTGCCTCTTTTAAAAGGGAAATTCTGCAATGGTTTTTGCCTGTTAACTTTGGTTTAGTGATTTACACGGCGAACAGACGGCAGATTATGATTGGTGGCTTCTTCATGACTGAAAACAAGTCTCTATAAAACGAAAGACAGGGCGGAACATGGCATTTAACTTGCCAGTCAGAGGATAGCCAGCTGGCCTTACTTCGCATACAAGTACAGGAGTTCATTGTAAAAATAGAACTAGGCTTTAAATCAACAATGTGGGATGTCAACATCATTATAATTTTTAATCACCAATCTAGAACTGTATCAGTAGCATATTACATCATTTATCTTCGTACGCTGATTAAATTCTTAAAATTGTGTAGAATGATTTAATCAACGGGATAATATCTAAAACGGCTTAAAGACGTCCCTTGACTGCAATCTTAACAACTGATTTAACATGTTAAAAAAATAAACACTCTATTTCCATCTTAATATATAAAAGTGTCTGTTTGGCGTCTTTTTCTGCGTTTAAAATTCAAGTATTTGGGTTCTATACAGTGACCCTTGTTAAACCAGTTGGCCAGCGTCCCTGGCTGGAACCACGTGACTGGCTCACTGGGGTCGTTTAACTTGGCACAGAGGTCGCAGTACGCCTTCAGTCGGTTCCCTGTGGTGTACTGATTCTTCCACTCTAAATATTGAACATAATTATAAGCCGTCACATTTTTGTCCAAATATTTCAGATAGGCTGCTAAATCTTTTGGAGATTTAAAATCGTTCGTATTGATATGCCATTCGGGTTTTATTCCAACCCTGGAATAATTGGCCGGACCTCTCGTAACCGTCACTATGTCTCGATCCAACATTTTCCAAAATTTCTCTGTGACATAATCCGTTGAGATACTATTCTCAAAGGACAGGTAAAACTTGTAGTTCGTATTAATGTTCTCCAGACATCTTTCGTTGTCCCGTTTGGAACATTTTAACGGACCACACCCACCGTACACGTCAACGGGGATGTGCTTCTTTAACTCTGCGACGTACCTCTCTCGATTACTCTTAGTGTGACAGTTACTGACCACCCAAGCCACTAACTTCGTCTTCTTCAGTGCTATTGCCGTGAAATTCTTGACAAGAGGTTTTTCCCGCTCCACAACATACTGATACGGTGTGAAAATTGTGGAATCTCGCCGAAATGTCATCGTCCAATTAAACATTCCCGCCCAAGCACCACCGGCCTCGCCGGAGTAACATGAGCTCTCGTGCGTCACCCACACCCAGCGCTGGTGAGGCAGTTTTTTAGGTTTCCTTCCCAAACTTCTGGCTATAAAAACAAAAGCGTCGCTTTTATCAGCCAAAGACTTATCCTCAGTGTAGATACTGTTGTCTATTTTACAGCCAAGGGATTTAAAGACCGGCTTGGCGTAGTCCCTGAGGTGCATGTAGTCCCATCCGGGCCCTGGGGTCCAGGACAAGATCAGCTTAGGCTTGCCGGACGGCCCACGGGTTACCTTCGTATCAGAATACGTAGTGGTTTCGCTTTCCTTTGTCACAACTTTTGCTGTAGTAACTGGGTAACGCATTATAGGTATCTGCTTCAAAGGGTAGACATCCGACAGTTTTATAAGAATGAATAATGTGGATATCGCAAAAAAGATAGCTATGGACCTGATCATTGTTCTGCATAGTTTTCCGGCCCTGCATGAGTCGTTTTTTATACTTCGTGAGGATACTTTCCCAATAGCTTCTTCCTCCATAGCGATATTGTTAGCTTTCTTCAACGCTTGATTTATAACTTGTGCAGCACTGACCGCCAGGAGATACCTGAAATATATAATACAAGGTTATAATATACAGGTAGGCCTCCAAATGCACACAATGTCACAGGATGAGTATCGCTTTGGTTACAGACATATACACCGTAGTTCAGGAAAGATATAGTTTAATAGGACGAGATAATGGATAGCTAACGAGGGCGCCCGTAGAACATACAATATTTTTATATAAAATTAGAGTTATCATCATTTTCGTCCTACTTGTCTACAGTTGTTTTTGATAATTTGCTGTACAATGTCAGTTGGTGGCGTTAAGTCCGTAAAGTCCGTAAACTTTCAGCGTTATATTATCAGGTAAAAAGGTCTTTAATGATCACAGTGCTCCATACCGCCACCAACCTTTAGTATTTTACTTACAAACCGGTAAAATATGCCCAGTTTTATGGCTTGTCTAAATTTACAAAATTTGTCCCAAATCAAGTTCTACCCTTCTTTCCTCCCGGGAAGAAAGAAACTGGTCTCAGGCGTTTGGGACCAAGGTCTTTATTGGAAACAGAAAGAGGGGTAGCAATTTTGGCCCGAGTTGCACTTATTCTTAGCAATCGGTGTTCCTGTTCTGTTCAGCCACATACGGCTCGAGTCAAGTTTTTTTTTTTTTTTTTTTGTATTAGTAGTGATTCCGTAACAGTAAAAGCGTGGTCAATAAAGGGAGGCTATAAATCGTTGTCATTTAGAATTTTGACATTTATATAATCTGATATGTCCATATCTTGGTATTTTTGGATGTTTTATGGTATTTGCTGCAATTATAATGATGTTTTTGAGTTCTTTAAGGACCTTGTGAAAACCAGGAAGTAGTTCGTAACTAACAACTGAATCGTACCGATCTACGACTGCTGTGCAAAGATATATCTTTTTTTTAATAATGTGACGAATTGTTAGATCTTTATATGTCCATCTGACATGAAATTCCACACAAATGACCACACTAATACAGGGACGGACAGAACAAATTAAATACCCGTTAATGTAAACTTGAAAATCTGACCGTCTTCCGGAAGACCAAGAAGACGGCCTAAATCCGCCCCTGACTGCAGCTCTTGGCTTCTCGGTCTTCTCAACTAAAACAATATACGTATTGAGGCATGATCTACATGTATATGGCTTTTACTATACATGTTTGAGACTAGATTCATTGCCGTTCAAATATATTTTCAGACCTGTTACAGGAAGGAAGCAAATTTGACATGGGAAGGCAGCTATTTTGAAAAATGAAAAAAGGGGAGAATTCCCCTGTCCTCCCTCCCTCCAGCTGTCTGTCCCAACTACAGTTGAAAGGATGGGGGGTAACAATGCCTATGTACATGTATGTACATGTATTACTGATCTTGAAATGTGATATATTGTTCCTAATGTCGCGTAATTTTTTTTTTAGTTCACAACTCGAGAGAATGAATATTGGTGAGTACAAGGATTTTTACTGGCGCAAGTAAAATATCATTTGATGTTTTTGAGACAAAACCATTCGGCAGTTCCTCTACAATATGGATGTTGACCGAGCTGTGTGGTACTGTGTGGTAAAATGCTACCACTGGAGCCGGGAATACTCTGTCACGATTTGACCCAAATATCCCGGTAGGGAGGACTGAGATGCAAAGAGAACAGAACTGTTTTAAAATGAGAGTAAGCCACGAAAATTTACTATTTAAATTCTCGATATCAGTCGCCGTGTTATGATAATCTCTTTCATGTAATGCTTATATTGTTTTGATACCTCAGGACAATGTACGCAGTTATAATGTACGCGTTTTATTTGTAAATTTCTCAAATTCATATCTTTTATGTCCCTATTCAGGCCTTAAAAATTAAAAGTCCCTTAAATCAAATAAGCTGATGCTGATACATGTATTTCATTTTTAAATGAACAGGAGGACATGGCTGTATTATTATTATTATCATTATATGATTGGCCACTCATTTAGAACTAAATTATTAAACCAGATACAGTATAAAACAATGA